GTGAATGAATTATTATTGAGTGCTCTGTGTGTACAGGAAGACCTGATAGCCTATGCCTACTGGGTCTAAATGCAGGTGGTGCAAAAAATCTTTTTTCTGTTGTTTTTGTAGGCTTGTAACAAGGTGGAAAAGTCAGATTTTGCCTTTTTACTATGGTGCTGCAGCCCAGCTCTGCCTGTGGTTTCAGCAGTCTTCAAGCAGTCGCTCACTTTGCCATAAAGTTAATTGCCCTGATGACTGTTTCCTGTCTTTGTCCAGTTGCTTCATGCCTGTGAAGAGTACAATTTGCTCCATCCACTCTGGCTCTGCCACCATAATGTATGTGAAAGAAAACAAATTTCCTAATGAATGAAACAAGCCTTTAGCAGTTTGGATGCCATGTCAGGTTTTGCTATATATGACTAAAAGATGCAGTTGCATTGTATCTGAGTCTATGAGAGTTCTCCTGGAAACATATATGAAGTAGGAATTCTGATTATTCGGATTCCCTTTAATTATTTTTAAATGAGATGTGTTAAAACAGTTATGAAAAGCATCCTGCTACCCACTGGTGCTACCCTCCCTTCTTGTTTCCATACTGCTTACTGCTGCCTCCCATTAAGTTTCTGTGGCTAATTCCTATTAATCTTAAAACAAACAAACAAACAAACAACAAAACTCTTTATCCCCTTCCATTTAGAACTGTCTCCATTTTTCCTACCTGTGGAAAGTGAGGAGAGGGCTTGGAAGTTTGAAGGAAGGGGCTGAGCTACCTGCAATACCTTTAACAGCATTGTCTGTGATAAAAACTGGAGTCATCACAATGCAAACCAAGGGTGGAAAGGCAGAACAGCAAGAAGTGAATCAGGAATCTCTAAGAAAGAATGGGCCCCTTGGGTAATTAATCCTTTTATTTTGAATTAAGTGAGGAAAGTAATTCAGACCTCAGGAATTTGGGGGTTCCTCATTTCCGGAAGCAGCTGTGCTGCACTACCCACCTCTAGTGGTAGCCTGTGTGCTACAGCTATATACACTTTATAAAGGACAGTGTCCAGAAATAAATTATAATAATGCTTTCTGTAAGAAATGTTACCAAATTGTCAACTTAATAATGAGCATATGAGTATATCAAAATTTGTTTAACTGGAAATGTCTTTAGTTCAATCAGTCTCAGACTGCATGAGTTGCTGATGTATGCAGCAGATGCATGAGGCTTTCTGTTCTAGTGACCCGTGTCAAGCATTTATTAAAAATGGAATTATTATTTGGAATGTGCTTGTGTTGAGACGATGACCTGGTGTCTCTCCTTTGAGCTTTGCCTACTAAATAATTTAACAAAAACCGTAATAGCACAGGGATTCCAATAGACATGTGTTTACAATGGACAATATGACAAAAATATTAAATCCAACATGACAGAGGTATTAAAGCCACCCATACAGTTGGCAGCTCATGAAAATAAGTAATGCATAAAAAACTATACATCTCTCTCACGCTTTTTTCTTAACTATAAATCTTTTATTTAATTTGCACTTGGAATTTCTCAGATCTTCATACTCACTTTCTTGTGACAAGGGATGAAAGTGCTCCTGTTCAACAGTTCCATACAGTACATACAGTCATCTTCAGTACAGTTTCTTACTGGCCTCCTGGTTGTTACATCAAGTGATTTCTCAATTTCCCAACTCTTAATGAACACTTCAATTTCATCCATATTTGTAATTATGGTCCTGTTTTGCATTTTCAGATCATCAGTAGGGTCTCCATTACACACCCCTGTAAACAGAGCACAAACAAACATGCCATATTACTTCCTTTGGGAAAGAAAACCCCTGAAAAAAACACTCCATCTAAACCCCTGACATCCACTGACTACCTGAATTCATTAATTTATGTATTCTGTTGATTTATAGATGAAAACATATATTTCCTATAAGCACATAACAAGTCTTTAATGCCAAAATTTTAATCTTCGTAACAGTGTTTTACATCCCAGCAACTAATTAACCAAAGTTCCTTTATCCTTTTTTCACTTTCCTTACACATTGCTAACCACACCATAAATGCTTGCCTTCATGCTTCCAGCCCTGTATTCTGATACTCTCCAGGGTCTCTTGTAGGACTGGACTAGCCTGGCATGACAGGCTGTTACTCTCTCAGACAGCATGGAGAAATACAGAAAGTGGTATTTGCATAAGGAGCATTTGACAGCAGCACCACTTTCTAATATTCTTAATACTTCTGCTTCTTGCTGCTGCCCTAACGCCATCCCACAAACTGTGCTGGCATTAGAATTTGCAGGGCAATGCTAAAGAATTGCAGAATCAATACAGCTTTAAAAATAAAGCCATTTTGCCATATAGTTCCACAATTTTTTCAGTTTGAGAGGGAGAGGATAGGGGAACCCCAGACAGGAACAAAGGGCAGAGAATAGGAAAGAAGCACTAAAAGAGGCTTCAGACTTTAGGACAAAATATCAGGTAGAGCAACACTTTACAGCAGAAGTTGGATTTGTCTGCAGTCTTCCTCTTTCTGTTCATGGCACAAAGAGTAACTATTCTATAATCCTTTCTACATTTGGCCACATCTCATCCCAGTCTTTTTCAGTGTGCATAGAGAAGATGGCATGATCCTGGGAAAAGATGCAGGGCCAGCATTCACCTCCTTGCTGACTAGATCTAGGAGAACTTTCATTCAAGCCAAATACAGCAATTGATTTTAAATATATTTTGTTTATAGGTATATTTAAATCATATCTGAATAGTTTTGTTTGCTTTTAAAACTAAAAGCAGTTTAAAATACAAAAAATTCATTTTCCTGTTCAATATGGGTAGACTGTAAAATTACAATGCACCAGAAAATTAACTTTCATGATAGATTCAGAGTAGCTCAAATACCAGCTTACACTTTTCCATATAATTCCTACTGACAGAGTTATGAAAAGGCTATGAGGGAAGCCTGAAACATGCTAAATTTACTATCATTGTAAGTCTGAGACATGTCAGCACAGTTTTTGACCCTAGATCCAACCTTAAGAGGTCTCAATTTGGATTCACTACCCTTGGGGGACTTGGACCCTTCCCAAGATATACCTTTTATCAGTATTAGTATAGTGAAAAGTTGGCACTGCTAACATCTGAAGGCTATCCTTTTCTTCCGTAATCACTGAAATATGCTGTCACTACCTGAACTTCTTCAGCAGCCCCTTCTCCATCGAAGATTTTACCCTTTTCTTTACTTGACTTCAACAATATTCTTAAATGCAGGCAGAGATGAGTTCAGTTTTTAAAAGTTAATCAGGTGCAATGTACCAGTCATTCCTTGCTCTGCAAAGCAGAGTGCTTTGAAACAGAATTACTGGTTTACTATTATTAATTAATAGAATTTCACAAGCCCACTTTTTTAGTGGGGGTCACAAGGGGAGCTATAGGGACAGCAGGTCACAGACACAAAAGGCAGGTGTACATTTTAAATGGAAAATTATTAATGAAAATGAAAAAATCACCACTGTAGCCTCACCACAAAGTCCTTCTGTCTTCATCGATGTGTTAGAGTGTAATCCATACTGTATATCAATAATTCCTGTAATGTGAGCCCACTTGATGCTAATACCAGCTGGGGTATTAACAACATACATTGCACCAGTATCCTGAATACTCAGTCCTTCTTTTGAAAATGGTAATGGTTGAATTACAGAATCCACTACTACCTAAAATAAATCAAATACATTTTAGGGATAAAAACAGAATGCAAAGATGTACTTTATGTCTCTACACTTTATAGCAAAAGATATTTTTTACAGCCTCTGCTGCATACGATAACAGTCACAGTGCTTAAATCACAGAGCTTCCTGTCAGGGCCATTTCCTATAACTGAAAATGAAGTAGGCATAAGAAAAAAAGATACAGAAATCTTTTCTAATTAGAGAAGCAATAAATCTTATTTATCACATATCATATGATAAAACAAAAATCTTCCACCCTCATTCATTTATTCAAAGTTATCTGTTCCGACCTGTTACTAGCAGGAAAGGCAGCTTAAGTATTTATCACACTTTGGAACATTTCTGTTTGGCTCTAGGTTTTCTGGAAATACAGTCTCAAGTATAAATGCTTTTGCAGCTTCTTTAAAATCTCAAAAGAATTTTGGAGTTTTATTTTGGATAAATGGCATGTAAGTGGAGCATGGTGTCAGAAATATCTGCTTTTTGCTTCCAGCACACTATGAATTACCGGGAACCTGAACTGCAAAAGTAATCCTAATCCTACAGTACATTCATTTAAGTCTAATCTACTGCATTCTACCACATAATGGCTCTCAGCTATCTTTAAAGAGTACACATGCTATATACATGATATATACTCACTTTTCTTGCTAAACGATTGATAAGTAATTGATATGTGCGTGTTGTTACATTTAATTTCTTAAAACAGAGCCCCGAAGTGCTTGCAGGGGGAACCTTAAAAGAAAAATGACAAGCAAGTTCAGTTACCTTTTTTTTCTAATTCTGTACCATAGAGAATTTTTTCAAGATGTGTAATAATGATGTATTTTATAATTAGTAAAAGAAAAAAGTACTCACTAGTTTTCTTATTGAATTTGCACTCTGAAAAACATTAAAAAGAGATTAGAAGTGCAATAATAATCGGCAGCATTCTTATTTGGCAAAAATAAGTTTACTGTTTTCGTTTTAAGTTCTTCTACAACCAGGTTTGTAATTGAACTAATTAATATATTCCTTATAAATAATAAAGATACACATTTCCCAGCTAATGCAGCTTTCTATGAATTATTTTTATGAACTTTATATGAACTGTTTTTAGAAACTTGATTTCCTTGTTAAAGATTTAAATCAAGGGGTTTTGTGTGGAAAATAAGACAGAAAAGATAACACCATGACCTGAACAAGCTGAATTAAAAATACATGGAAATACAACAGATATGCCAATAAAATCCCCTTTGATAAAAATGCTACTTTACAAGGCATCTTCCTGCACAAGATGTAGCTCATGTATACCATATATGGTACATATACCTTTTAAATGAACAGCTTTAACATTGAGAGCAACCCATTACCAGCATCACAAGATTTAGCATATGCTGCAAATGCCTTTGAAAAAATATTTCTTAGAGAACTACAGCTACAGACTTCTAAAGCTCATTTGCTTCCGTGAGCTGTGTTCACACCTTTAGACTGCAACCTAGAAACAGTGAAGGGAGCAATTTAAAAGAAAGCCTCTAAAATGGTGTAGGACTCAGGACTTAAAAATCAAGTGTACAGTTCTCCAGTGAGAGTGGATAAGAGAGCAAATAGGATAGGAAAGGAGAGAAGCCTGATGAAGTTCCTCATCAGGAACTTGTTTATCCACAAACTGAAGATGGACATATAAGCCAGTTGTTCAAAGGCTACATAAATTAGGAGTATGGACAATGCAAAGGAGATGTATGTAAAGACTCTAAGGATGAGACTTACCTGACCTAAACTGGCAGTCTAAAAATAAAATGGCTGGATTTCTCTGTAGGCAATGCAAACTACAAAGAACAACTCATCACACTAATCCCAAACTCATTAATACCTTCCTAAAATAACTACAACAGATTTTGGTGACTATTCAAAGTATTTTAGTATTTTTAGCATACTGTAAATTATAAATTCAAGTCCTCAGGAAGATTTGTGGTTGGAGGACCTAAACAGAGACATGAAGACTCAGAAGCTGAGTCACCCTGGTAATTTAAAAGGAACTTACATTTGAATTTCCTTATAATATAATACAACAATTACTGTTTAACCTGAGATAAAATTATTTTATCTAGAGAGCTTGATAAAGCATGCTCCTTGAATATTAAATAACTTGCCATTTTTCAATGGGTGTGGCTTTTATCTGTAAGTTTTAATTGATAAAATTTAGCAGGATTTCAGTCTTATAACACAAAAATTCAAGAAACTATGACAATTGTTGTGGAAATACAAGAATCTTACCTGATTAGCAGGACATTTTTCAATATGAGCAACAATAATTTCTCCTGGTAACTTGACTAAAATGTAGGAAGCTGTATTACAGAGGGCTATGTTGTTTCCATCAAATGTGATAACACTCAGTTCAGACAGTACAGAACATTGACCTAAAAAAGAACTGTCATTTAATGAGGTTACCACAAAACCAAATACAAGGCATTTCTAAAAACATTCCGATTTAGCAATATTTGCTCTTGCTCTCTCTCTCTGACTGTTCATATATGTATATATACTGATGACCTTGTTCTGCAGGCAGTGTACTGAACCAAAGGCAGAAATAAGTGTCTCGCATTACTCAGTGGAAATAGTTTAACCTACTGCTGTGAGCCCAGAGTACAGAGAAAGTTTAAATTGGTGAAAATTTTCACTTAAGTCAATGTTCTACAGGCAAGGTCACTGAATCTATACATTGTGAAATGAAATTCATGCACTAAGTATTTTCGGGCTACTGATAACAAGATACTGATCTGGCCTATCTTGAGACATATTTGAAAGTGCAATATGGGTTTCAGTAGTGCTGCAAGGTTATTAATATGACTTCTTTTTGGCTTTTTGTGTTCCCTTGGCAGACAGCCATCTGCCAGTTTCTGCAGTTTCTAAATATGAGTAAAAACTGTAGTTAGAGCTAACTGAAATTTGGGGGTTCTGTCTTGCAAAAAATGACAGTATTTAATTTGTTTTCTTCACAAAAAGTTGAAATCTGAACATTTCTACTAATAGAAATTCTGAAAAGAGAGTCAGTTGGAATATGTTGATGTTCATGCTGCAGATTTCATTTCAATCTTTTCATTCAAAAGAAAATACTTTGACTCTCTTGAATGTTAATTCAAAGATACCAAAACTTCCAGTATATTTCATTCTCTTTTGCTGATGAATAGCTCTTTTAAATTCGTTTCAGTATTCAACCTCATATTCCCACTGTAATAAAACCTTAATTTATTACTTGAAATTTACAGGTCAAGGCTCTGTGTTGTATTTAAAAATAAAACAGTGACTTACAGGGACATTCCCATTCTGGGCAACAACTATCAGTGTTAACTTGAACTGGCATTCCGCGAAAACCACAGTCTGGCATCTGCACATCCTTAAGGCAGTTCCTTGAAAGGTTGTATAACATCCAACCCATATTAACACATACATACTGGCTACATTTGTCAACAGGTTCCAGGTATCTTGGCTGTCAGGAAAAAAACAACCGTAATCAATTTCACATTCATTGCCCCATGAAGTCCACGTGATCACTTGTTCATCACCCTGCTCTGAGACAGAATCAGCATATCTAGAGTCTCCTCTTCAGTTATTTTGGAATGGATTGCTTTTGTGTGGCTGTCACAGGTGACAAGGATGCACATCCACTCACCCACTCTGCTCCTGTTCCATCTAGCTTTAGTGGAATATTCTATGTAAAGCACTGTACACTGAGGCTATATGTTATATTCGGCAATAATCTGAAGCATTTTAAGAAATACAGAATTATGCATTCCCATCATTTTAAACTGCATGATGAAGAATCAAATGGAAAAAGGAAAGATGGAGTGGTGTTATGGAGAAACAAAAACATCCAATGGATTATGGCTTTGTCTGCAGTTCAAAAACCTATTTTCCTATCTAGAATCAGCACATAGATTTAAAAGCTTTAAATCCAGATTGCAGAATATATTAGGGCAGTATAGGAGCAGCGATACTGCAATTATCTAAGAATAACTGAGTATTTTAAAACAGACAGCTGAAAACAGAATTAGGAGATATTTAAAGCTCCAGTATTACATACATATCGTAACAGAATGGACTGCAGAGCAATATATATTTTAACACATGGGGCAAGTAGAACTGATCATACCACACATTCAGAAGATGTAGACATCAATGTATGCATCACTGTACCAAAGGAAGCCTTGTCAGCTACAGCCGTCATTGTTTCTGTGCTTGCCAGAGAACTTTGTGTTTCCATAGGCTCTGGAGAGGAAGGCAGAGACATTCCACCACTAGAATGAGATAAATCTGTTACAGTTCTGGTCTGAAGCTCTGTGGGCTCTGTTAAACTGAAATAAGGTTTAATGGTTTTCTGCATTGGGATATTTGACCAATCTGATATTATTACATCTGGGACTCCAGAAAGAGAGAGATTTTTTACTGTGGTTATGTTTCTTGGGAAAGGTGAACTCTGAACTGGTGATACTGTCAAATAAGACAGGGAAGATTTCTCAGTTGTGGTTGACTTTGTCTTGGTAACATTTCTTTGCTCATGTAAAATCTGACCACTTTCTAAAACATCCCCAATTCTTTCAAATGAGGTTGCATATTTAACTTCTGAAGCTGGAAGTGAGGTACTCTTTGCCTGTGATAATGGACTTGTAGTACCAGTTGTTTTCATTATCATAATTTTTGGAGTCTCTTTAGTGCTCTGTGAAGCCTGAGTCACTGCAGATGTAAATAAAGATCTGTGTGACACATGCATGGATGTTTCTGTGGTGGCAGGAACTGAAGCTGAAGCTATATAAAACTCCAAATCAACAACAAAAGAATCAGTGGTTTTTGTGGTAATACTAGAAGCTACTGTAGTGCCAGAAACAAAACTGCCTGAAGAGGTAGGTGGTATTTTTGCAAAAATATAAGGCGCTTTTAAGGATGTAGCATTCACTGTTGTCTTCTTGATTGTTGGTGTAGTGGATTGAGTGATGATTCCAGCAGATATGGCTGATATTGTTCCATTTTCTTCTGAAGAACTTACTGAAGAACTCTGTTTTCCTAGAGAAACAGTAGAGATACGAGTGGTCTTAGGAGGAGGTGAAGACATAGAAACCCTACTCGACTGGCTTTCTAAAGTGGCTTCAGGAGCTGTAGGCATTAGTAAAGGGGGCATTACAATGGATGCTCTAAGTGCTGCTGAAAGGCCGAAAGGCTTATGTTTGAAATGAATGTAGAAGAATCTATAGAAGAAATTGCAAAGTGTATAACTAGACTTTTTGAGGTTCCTTGTGTATCAAAGAAGAAAATGATGTTTGGGTAGCAGTTATATTTTGTGTTATTGATGACGTCCTACTTACTGTGGGAATCAATGAAGAACTTGTAGTAAGGAAATGTCACATAAAATTGTACTGATATTGATAACAAGATATCCAAGATTTTTTGATAACAAATAAAGACAATGACCTTGTAAGAGAAGGATCTTTAGGAATGAAAGTGCCTGAACTTTGTACCACAGGGTCAGTTTTCATTTTTGTCTTCTGTGAACAGCTTGGGTAATCTGTTATTTCTGAAGTGGTTATTAATGTAGCATTTAGAGGTAATACCAACATCCTAAGAGGGAAGACTGTGGACATAATGGGTTTCATTAGCCTTTTTAGAAATGGATTACACTGAAAAGGGGTCAGTGTGCATTGTGCATTTTTCTTCTGCTGAGGCTTTACTTGCTATAGACATATCAGATTGTTGGATTGACGAGAAAAGTAGAAACGGCAGAAGGTACTTTGTAAAGACTTTTGGAAGCAACAGTGACATCTGCCATAGCTTTGGGTTTCAAGGAGGTAATCAGAGAATGCACTGTTATAGATACTGTGCATGTTGCAGAAGGACCCCAAGAAGTGTTTATAGGAATTTGAGAAGCAACTTGAGGTGAAGATACAGCCACTATGGTGACAGCAGCAGAAATCCTGCCTTTTGTTAAAGGAGATACCTGCTTGGGAACTGAAATTTTCACTGAAGATAAAAATGCCTTTAGAGAAAAACTAGCTAGAGAACTTGCATTTAATAGTATCAGAGAAGTTTTAGACAAGGGTTTCGCTGTTCCAAAATATGAAATGGTGGCTAATTGAGGAAAACTTGTTTCAAAGTTAGCAAATCTAGTAGTTGGAATTTGAGGAGAGGCCGAAGTCAATACAGAAATGGGTGCTGGGTGAACTGCAGTTTGACCAATGCCAGACCTAGTTCTAACAGACAAAGCAGATACAGGAGATATAGTAGATGTGCTTAGTGTCAACTGTGAACCTAGAAGAAATATAGGTCTTGTGAAAGTTGCTCTGCCAGCCAGCAAAGCAGTAAAAGGCACTTCAGAGGGTACTCCTGCTCCCTTGGAATGATTTACTGAAGGACTCCTACTCTTCCCAATCCTTGGAGGCAGCTCAGAAGTGACAAAAGGTGGCTTGGAGGTTAAAGTCATTAATGATGAGGTAGTGGGGAACAGTTCCTAGCTGACTGGTTGATGCTTCAGGTGGAAAGGGAACTACAACTAGGGAAGTAGATGTTAATAACACATAATGTGTTGTAATAAAACTTGCACTGAGCGGGGTTGTTGGACTTGCTATTGCAATGGGTAAAGCTATAGATGCAGTAGAACTGACAGTACGTGATGTGACTGCTGAGGCTTGAAGAGCTGTTGGAAAATCTATTGAAGAGGTGAGTGTGGAAAGGACAGTAGGGCTGGCTGTGCTGTGAAGTACATCAGAAGGCTCCACTGTACTTGATAGTGAAAACGTTGAGTAGATGGCTGCATTAGACGCTTCCAATGAATAAGAGTCTGTGATGGGCTGTGCTGACATATTCATTCCCCTTGAAGTTGTGTTTTTTTTCATGGTTATTTTGCCTGCCACATCAGCATGGGTTGACTTAGTCCCTGAAGTAACAAATAAAGGAAGTGTTTGAGGACACTCTGTGGTAGTACCCGTGTGAGACATTAGCAACGAAGGTTTTGTTCCAATTGCTGATTCTGTAGGTGTCACAGGTATGCCTGAAAGGAAAGATGCATGTTTCACTGTCTTTTATAGATTATTGGTAAAGCAAAGTAGCAACATCTATCTCTACTCAAGTCCCATTTAAATGTTAGCAAATCAGAGCATCATTTTGCTAGTAAGATAACTTGCCAGTGGTTCCAGGTTGTCTAATGACTTTGAGACACTCAGCTGACTCAGGAGGTTCTAATTTTCTTTGCAAATGAAGTAGCTAAGTTTTTATTATTAGTGAAAACCTTGATTTTGCAGAGCAGTTATGGAAACAACATGGGAATTCTGTTGAGAATTCAGTATATCCAAAATGGTAAAGCATTTTGAATAAATAAACCTTTGGAAGGTAGTATACTATGAGATAACTGCACTAGCAAATATCAACCAATGTATTTAATTTGAAACTTGTAAAATAAAATAAGAGACGGTATTAAATGTAATTGTTATGTTAAAAGAATACTGTTTTCCCAAAGTAAGCAAATAATGTGATGTCTTCACACACCAGAAGTTATGAAATAGTTGCACTGAATTTGTTACTGGTGGTTCATAAACCAAAAAGTCCGAACTTTTCACCACAGCAGTATTTCCTCCATTTGGGATCTTTGTCTTATACACATATGATATACTAGCACAGTATATAGTCAAATATAGTTGCAATTAGTATAACACCATCACAGAAGGTTAAATTTAACACAGTATTAGAGAAATTAAAGAACTCAACTTTAGCTGTGGCTTGTTTGGACGTAGATGTGTTTTAGATCACTCAGAATAGAGAGAATATGTTCAGTAGTAAAGCATTTAACAAAAAATACAATGTACATTTGGTTAAAACTTTTCCAGGGATCTTTAGAGTAATTTATAAGATTAGACTAATATAATAAAGTATACTTACAGTCTTCTGGATAAACACATTTAAGTGTGACCTCATCAAGGATCATGTTTTTGGGACAGTATGGCAAGCATCCTTCAACCCTTTAAAACAGTGTATGGTTAATTCTAAAGCCACAGTAGAAAGGTAGATTAATTTTAACTTATTTTGCTTTGGCAAAATGAAACACTTGAATATCTTCCACATCAGAGTTTAGAGAACTTTCCACTCTAACGGTGAACATAGCATTTTGAGGCATTTTAAGGTCAAAAAGATGCTGAAGAGCACAATTCTGTTTCTATATTGTTAATAATCAATTATTTGTTACTCTATACTGACAAGCATGATAGCTTTGGACCATTTTGCTTCCACAAACAGGAGGAAGTTCAGATCCCAAAGCAGAAAGGTTTTCCACGGACAAAGAACTTCTCTACAAGACCGCTTTCTTACACAGATATGTTCATTTGCAACATTAAAGTATTTAGACTGACTCCATCGAAAGTCTCATTTTTTTGCATTTTCAGAGTGGGAGAGCACAGACAAATCCATATAGTCCCTTACTTTTTCATTTAGGGGGAATTTTTAATGAGAAGGTCATGACATTAGCTACCTGTTTGCCCATATGTAAAAAGCTAAGAATACCTACAGAGAAAATTAGTAATATTAGTAATATTCTTAATCATAAACTGCATGTGCCTCAGGAGGTCGCCTGAAATTCAAAATGTCATTTCTTTTCCACCAGATTTTGTGCCTTGAGTTTTTAGGCATTTTGCTTTTTAGTCTGTTGTGGTTCCAGACATGCCAGGGGCATGCATGGAGACAGGAAATCTTATTACTAAGTAACTAGATAACATCAACCATGTGAAATCCCTCATGTTACGCCAATAACTCTCTCTTATTATAAAGTTCCCTCCTCTTACAGGAGAGGGCGTAGTCCACCCTTACTATTCCCACAGGTTTTGATCTCATGAACAACAGAAAGATGTAGTCATTCACAGCACCGTGGAATGCTGGTTTAGGATGTGAATATCAATCCATAGAAGGATATAGCCTTCATTTAATTTAATAGATTTCTACTCAGCCACTACCAGAAGCTAATCCCCAGGGCTAAGTAAAGATTTTCTTATTCTTGTGTTGAAAGGTCACATGTAAACAGGAATGTATACCATGGGAACAAGAGGCTTTTTACAATTGTTTTCACATGACTTGTGAGAGTTGCTCACAAGAGTGATATTGAAATCTGGATGAGTAAAAATGAGTGGATATCGCAGCTGCAGTCATTTTTAGAAAGCATATGGTACACATATTACAGAAATCAATAGGGTAGCAATACAAGCTTAATTTTACTTACAGAGGAAGGAATTTACATGCTATTCCTTCAGGATCACTACAGGTTTTAACACAAGGATTAGCACAAGATTCGTATCGCCACTCACACATTCTTCTATAAGGCACAGAGGCACTGAGTTCTGAGAAAGAAGGAAGAGGTATTATTTATTGATTATGTAGTCAATAAACTATAAATTCATAGTCTTCTTTTATAATGTGCAATGAAGTTTTCAGAAAAAAAAATAAAGCAGAGAAATTCTTGAGAACTTCTGAATAGGTGAGATTTTGTTCATTATCAGTTTCAAGTCTTATATTCAATCAAGCTAAAAGACACTGAAACTTCAAAGTTACAAACAGCTACTCACTTTTACAATAATGTGTAAAACCTTAAAAATCAGTTAACATAGTGAAGGTACTGCAAAATGTAAAATTTACCTTCAATACTAAAGCTACTCAAACGTTTGAATTCTTCTGAATTATCATACTTTGCCACTTTAACACCAGATGAGGTGAGAATGATGAAAAAGCCTTTTTTACTGTGCAGTTCGAAGGCACTGAGCCCTGGACTCCAGAGGCCCTGGTGGTGGAAGAAGGTGGCTCGTCTCTGAAAGGAGGCACTTGCCTGCCACTGTTCCAACCCAGCGGTTTCATTGTCATGTACATACAGGAAGTAGTTTGGTCTTTCAGCAGATTCAAGGGAAACAAGAGAGAGAGCTTCCACAAAAGAAAAGGAAATTAAAATAATAGTAAGATTTTCACAGAAAACAACTTAAAAGTGAGATTAAAATCTATATATTGTCCGTTAAGTGGCTCCCTTTTAAACAACTGCTTTTCACAAAAAAAAAAAATATTTCAGCTTTATGTAACAACAACAAAAAAAAAGTTAGACATGCAGGGTCTAAAGGAGACTTCAAATGATCATGTAATCAGAAATTAGCAGAAAGCTAATCAGTTAGATCAAAACTGCATTCAATCTGCTGCTACCAGCCTTTGAAATGATTCGTGAGGAGTCTGAAATTTTGACTAACTCAAATTGGAAGTTTTTTCCTGAATTAGGACTAATACCTAACAGTTCAGTTGTACCAAATTTTCATTAGTAAATAACATCATGCAAATTTTGTAAGAACATGCTTGACTTCAGCTTGAGGTCAGGCTTTTTTTACATGCAGTCATATCCAGCAATACAGTAAGAAAACCTGTGGCCTAAGAATAGACTCAACCCTCTGTTTGCTCTATCCATGGTAGAAATAAAAAGCAAAGAAACTTCTCTGAAAATAAGAACTTAGAAGACTGATTTCTAGTTTGGCTTTCAACTTGAATAAAATCTTGAAGTGTCTTTAATGTAGATCAATACTGTCTCATTCCTCACAGATGTGAAAACTACCTGTGTACTGCACAAACATAATGAGTGCTTTACTTACTTACACTTTGACTCAGTTGGGAAATTGACAAGACAATTCATTTTTCTGTTCCATGTACATTCTCATTTAGCAATTATATCTAAAACCCTAATTTCTCTGCTGCAAACTGTTTGTGAATATAGGTTCAATTTTTACCATGAAGACAGCCTTTCTCTATCTTGATTTTTCAGGGTTTGGAATTTTTTCCAACAAATTAAGTTCTTTGAGAAAGCAATGACAAAATAGGTATTGACTTGATCAGCACAAACAAATTCATGTGAAGAAAGCAACGTACATACAGAAGAGAAAATATTTGAACTTTTTTTTTTTTTAGTTGTATAGTTTGGATCAATCTCTGATAAGTGAAAAGCAGAGCTTAGGAATAGCAGTCCACCTAAGAAACTGCCTTCTACATTGTATGGAGATGCTGCTCACGGACAGTGCAGGAGACATACTTTTTATTCTAAAAGTTGAACATTTTACAGTCCACTGAAAGTCACAAAAAAAAGAAAAAAAAAAGTAGAAGTGATTTTACTGGAGACAAAAATATCCTGTACTTATCTTCAGTTTTGATACTGGCCGAATACATGTGCCAAATTTTCCAGTTTCCAGTTATACAATCTAATTAATGTTTGCTTAGGGTTTTTTGGTTTATTTTTTTACAAAGGAATTCTAATCACTTGTATTTTGCAATATTTCTAAAAAAATCTTTGAAAAGTCAGCTTCAAAGCTGGCAGTGGGGTTTTCCAATATTTTTTTTGTTGTTGTTAAAAAAAACCCAGTACTCCTCAGTTTTGAAACTGGCTGCTTCGACCTCACTTATCCCAATAACTAAAAATATCTAGACTATTTTAGAAGATGCGGCAAAAGTCATTCAAAATCATTCATACAAGGATGCTGGGGAGGGACTCTTCATTAGGGACTCCAGTGGTAGGACAAGGGGTAATGGCTTTAAACTTAAACAGGGGAACTTTAGGTTAGATATAAGGAAGAAGTTCTTCACAGTGAGAGTGGTGGGGCACTGGAATAGGTTGCCCAAGGAAGTTGTGAATGCTCCAACCCTGGCGGTGTTCAAGGCCAGGTTGGACAGAGCCTTGGGTGACATAGTTTAGTGTGTGGTGTCCCTGCTCATGGCAAGGGGGTTGGAACTAGATGATCTTAAGGTCCTTTCCAACCCTAACTATTCTATGATTCTATGATTCTATATAGTTTGAAAAATATGTATTGCCATTAGAAAAATTGTTGAGAACACTTACATAAATCTTTATCTTTGAAAAGCCCTGGAGTTATCATGAAGCTGAAAAATACATTTCTATATGCTCCAGCTCTAGGCAGGGGAAATATCCTTCTGCTAGATACATTAGCTCCTATAATTGTGTCATTCTGTCCATAACTTGCCAAAATATAGGGTCCTTCACCAAGACCTATGGGGAGAAAAAACAAAATAGAAGAAGAAAAATTCTCCTTACATAACATACAGAATCTTAGCTAACATAATATATTGTCTTAAATATTTCACCACACTTGGAATCAAATACATTGGAATTACAGCTCAATGCCTCAAGATATTACGCTGGAGTAGGTCTGGATCTGTTCAATGTACTCCCTTATTCTTTGCCTGCTGCCCAGAATACAACAGATACAATGTGAGCACAAAGAACTGTGGGTAGCTGTCCTTACAAAATTACCTGTACCAGAAAGCAACCAGGGCTGCTTTTTTATGGTGTTTAGTCTTTTACATGTCCTTATTTCTATAATTTGAAAGTTCAACAGAGCAACTTCAATGTTATTTCCCAAATAGACACTGAAGCTACTCTAAGATCTACAAGGAATTTCTCCCACCAAAAAACAGATTTCAAATTATAATGCCGTAGTTCAATTTCTGGCACAATATTGCTTAAGTAGTTGCCTAGTTCATCTTTCCCACAAACCACTTGCTTCCGCCTCCCTTACTGCCCCATTTATTATGCCATCCTAAGTGCTTCAGCAGTGAAGTGGTCCAGCTGAAAAGCAACTAGCTAATTTTTCCAGTCTGGTTCACCACATCATCACTCAAAAGCTCATGCCAATAGAAAAGTGACAACAGCCTCAGCTGGTACTGCTGCCAAAACAGTGCTGGCCTAACCATGCCCTGCAGCAAACCTCTGGAGCTACTTCTGCTGGGCTGGAAAGGCTTACAGGGATACATATAGATAGAATAGCATCCATCTTTGTCACTATATCCAACTGAAAGAACCAAGAGCAGCATACTTCTAAAACCTTACCTTGTGATAATAAACAAAATATGTACATTTTGTAAAAGCTTTTGATTCTTACAGTGAAAAGACTGAACCTCTTCCCAGCCTAAGACAGCTCCTTTCAAATGCGAATCTTCCAAGAGGGAAGGAATTCTCATAATAATATTTGGCTCAGCTAGAAGTTAAACACCGATTTCTAAATAAAACTGCTTGAAAATAACTACTGTTTTTATATGAAAGCTCATATGTACATGAAGCCCACAAATTTGCCACTTTTAAAGAGATGGCAAGACAATTTATCTTAAAAAGACTCTTTATTCCAGATCATTGATTGTTTATCCCTACGTATTAACAGACATTTTGCCTAGGAGTTGAGCAAAAGCAGGAGTGAGCTGTAATTGATAAAGTTTCCTTAAAGATTCGACAGTTTGAAGTCATGCAGAACAAAAGAGAATCAGAGAAGCCATCTTAGCCCCAAAAAGTGTTTTGCTGGCATTTGGTGGTGGAAACGTGTAACACCATCCTTGACCTTAACTGTGGTAGGCAACTAAGCACCACACAGCTGCTCACTCACATCTACATGCTCCTGTATTGGGCCAGACTCCTTGGAGGAGAAAAACTCATCCTATATATGATGATCATTATAGGATGCAAGTCGCTAAAAAGATGTATCAAAAGTCACATTAATTTCATTGCGTTTAGACAAGTTTCCCTTCCTTTTCAATATCTTGCTCTCCACAAAGCACATGCATGGTATCCAAATATAAGAGGGGATGCCACAGGAATTAAGAATTCCTCATTCTAATGAAATGTCCTTTATAGTACAATACTTGAGAGACTTACACATAAAAACCTGTAACCTTTCAGTTTTGAAATACAATAGATCCCAGTTCTTAAATTTCCAGTACAACTGCAAGGTAACATCCTTATATTGCTTCTTCCTGACTGCCGAAATGTGCTGCAGGGTGCATTTATTCACCCTCATGTTGAATATGATGAGGTTATTAGTTGAGGCATTAGGGATTACTAAGATCATTCAACACAGCTGGGCCACTGACCTTTACTCATTAAAAATAGAAGCAATTTAAAACTACATACACTAAGTCAAAGAAAAAGCCCATCAATTAATTCAACTGAGGTTTTAATTGAATCAGAGAAATGTCTTTTATATGATAATGAAGAAGAAAAACAAAGCAGGCCACATCAGAATGAAAATCTAGAAGATAGTTGCATACTATGACAAATGTTCATGAAATTTTGAGGCTTTTTAATTTCTACCCCCCAAATTGTGCCGAATTAATTATTACTCTGATTTATGTAATTCTGATTAACTCAGTATCATCAGAGATGCATTATATCCACACCATTCATTTCTGGAGAAATGCACTTGAATTTCTCTGTGCCAAAGACAATTAGTTTAGTGAGGTGAAAATACAAATGTTAATAACCATGTGTAACCTTCTGAGATGCACACTAATGCATCAGTATTTGAATTCCTTAGTCATGCAGGATTGTCTATGTTTATATAGCACAAATCTCAAGTAATACATGAGATATTGCACAGAAAAGAAACAGTATTTTAGACAACCATAGCAGAACAGGAGGAAAGAAAAAGTCAAATAATGATATAATGAGGTTAAATAGACAAGGAGTATGTTGCAAAATGACATATAATGCTCCAGGCTGCTCATACAAGTCAGCTCTCCTTTTGAATGGAGTTGAAGGTCCAGTGAGTTCAAGGCATTGTGACTATGCAATCTTACCCTACAGAAAGGGAAAAGAGAAAACCTCCAACACTGCTACAGCTGACAGAGATTCTTCTCAGTACAAGCTGTGAAGGGTTTTATATGCACAGTTCATTGCATCACATTTCATCTGAGATGCCAGATATGTTGTTTTGCATACAACTATGATGTTTTTTTCCATGCCACCACCGTCCCTGGGCACAGAGCAGAAAGGTTCATGGGGACTTGCTTTGCTAACTTGCTGAGCTCATTAAATTCACATACCCAAATCAGGAGTACAAAAAACTACAACCTAACCGGGGAAAGAGAGAAATTATCAAACTATGCTTTCCTCCTGGATTAGTCTGAGTGAACCGATATAAGAAAAATATGTCTTGAGTATTTGTTTTTAAAAGAGAAAATAAGTGAGGGGGGAGAAATCAACATTCCAAAATAGCATCATACAGAAAGAAATAGGTTAGAATAGAAAACCTGAAAAGTGGATTCAGCAAGGTATATGAATATGAGGATGAATCAAGGATATTAATATCAAATGCTACATACCTTGGTTGTAATAATCACAGTCATAAGCTAAAAGTAATGAAAACAAACACATTATTATTACTAAGTAACATCAGAATCTATGCATATCTGCATCCTAAAAATGTAAAGTTCACTTTCATCAGAGGAAGTTTCAGTGAGCGATTTCCTTAGGCTTTTATTTAGTGACATACAGCTATATTTAAACAGATGTCCCAGGACGGCAGACCTAAAGCATGAAATATTCTACTTTTTGCTGTCTGTGAAAAGTAGAACAGACTGAATCTCTTTGCAGCCCTACACACAACACGGGGCATAACCCAAATCTGATATACCAGTGCCTTTCCAACAGTCTCTGTGCTGGCACATCCTAAGCTCAGCCAGTCATCTTCGTAAGACAGCAAATTTGGGTGTATAAAACTAAGAGCTGACACACAGATAGTTTGAAAAACGTGGAGGACACTTATTATCTACCTGTTTCTGTCATATTTGTAATATTGGGCAGCAAAAGGCCAAAGATGCCTCAAAGATGAGCTCCAGTGTAAGGCTAGCCCAGGTACATACCACAGAGGGAAGGAGATCGCCAGTGAATTGGTGCTCCTTGCTGGCAGCACTTGTGGGCATAAGCTGCAATACTGGTACACAAGCACTCGCAGTCCCCACCAAGATTGCAGTTGCACGTATCTGTGTGACAATTTTTGACAAAAGAAGTCACATCAATCTGGGGAAAAAATAAATAAATAAAAGAAAGAGAGGGTTGGAGACTTAATTGCACGAGCTGTACAAATTCCCGTTGCACTATTTTCAGCAGAAGTGCTACCTCTGGATTAACCGGAAGAATTTGACACAAAAATAACGTATTTTCTAAGGTCTGGGTACGTTCCTATACAAAAAGTACACTTTGAATGGTCAGCTTGTACCTACGTTACAGGCCAAGAAAAAATTTCAGTCAGTGACTATTAACAAGTATGTCTGTCCACGCACATGCTGTTCACCAGTTTTGGAGAGTATATTGAAGCTGGCAGTTCTGATTTTACAAGGCAAATACTGCCATCTATAGTTACCCTGTCAGTTTTGCATGAACAACAACGAAGTCTCTGCAGAGAGCTGCAGCTCTGATTATAAAGCATTTAAAGTAACGATTTGTAGAGGGAGTTTTAATCAGTGAAAGAAAGATTGAGTGATATTTTGCAGAAAAATATTCCTGCACTTATAAAGATTTTAATATACTCTGCCCACAAACCTTCGTTAGATCAGAAACCCACATCCCCACTCTAAAATGCTATCACATTCATGTTTTCACATGATACATTATTTCTTTTTTGTAATGTTGATCGATGTTTCCAAAACAGTGTTCTTACTACTCAACACATGGAATGTTTAAAGCAATGCTTTTCTTCAGTTTAAGCTCTGGGCTGGCTATCTGAGTCGTAGAGCCCTTAAAAGGCACACGTCAGATTACAGAAATACCATCACAGTAACAAAGCAGCGCTTATCTAACAGAGAGACAGCTTTTCAGCTGGCAATTGCTAGACGCTGGCAGGGACATGAAGACTGTTTTTCTGCCTTCGCTGGAGAGAGATGCCATTTTGCTTTCATTCTTTTTGTCATTTTGAAAACAGTGACCACACTGGTGTGGGGGCAGGAGTGTTAGGTCCATTGAAAATGGTTCTAATAGTTTTGCTATTAGAAACCACCAAACAGGAGATTGGATCCAAAGACCTGTCTCTCATGTCTGCAGGACAGCATCTCCCTATAGGTCAGCAATTTCCTGTTGTGACAAACTGGGAGCCTCGGGTCAAAGCTCCTGCTGAGCTCAGTAGTTATGAGGAAGACTTTCTTTTCTGCAAGTGTTGAGGCTCCTCAGCCCTGATGAGTTCAGTGCTCAGCTGGGCAACCGCAACCCATCAGTCGCTGTCAGCCAGAGATGCAAGGTTTTGCTTTCCTGAAAATCGGGGGTTCCAGCCTCAGCTGAGCTTTGAGGCTGCCTGTCCCATGGGCAGGAGCTTGCCTCCATGCACATCAGGATCCTCCACCACTCACACAGCAGGAGCGGCTGTAAGAAAGATGCTCCAAGCACGTCCTGAAACCCACATCTACACTTTCTGTTCTTTCCATGCCCCCAGTGTCAGTCTCTGCTTGGGCTTTTTTCCTTGGCACCCAGTTCCCCAGCCATGCAGCCACCAGTCAGCTGCAGACATCCTTAATAGGAGGTCACTTTACCTTTACTTTTTTTAACATAATTACGTTAAATTTTTGCCATAATGTTTGCAAATTTTAATCACAATGTTGGTAAGATATAGAAAATGAATGTTCAAGAGAAAACATCTTTCTTCATGAGTTACAATAATGCAGCTCCTTAAAAACTCTCAAAAGTTCAATTTTATTTATTACTTTCTATTTTGAAAATACCCTATCACCATGTTCTCAGGCACATGCTCAAAAAATTCTTTACATAGTAACTAAAGTCAACATTAATAAATCTCTCATGTTAAGCTACTGCAACCTCCCTCAGGCAAATTCCTAACCATGTTGATATCAAACTTTAGTCCTGAAAGTCAGGAGGTTCAGCTGGGATATCTAATACTCATTTAGTATTAGTATTCATAAAGAAAATAAGAGGCCGAGACAAAATATCGTAGTGGTTCTTACTTGCACAGGTGTAAAGAAGCATTTTTGATAACTGAATAGTTTTGAGAGGCTAAAATCAGATATTGGGAAAAATATATAGAGCGTGTCCTGTGTTAATAAAGAGTAGACTAAAATGGAATTAAAGATTCCTGAACAAGTTATTGTCTAGACTGAAATTAAGGACATTCTTGTAACTCAAGTCTCAGGCTCAGCCAGGTACTGAGAAAACAAGGACACCAAACCTCAGAGTTCTGATAAAAAGCAGATGATAAGCTGTCAGCCAATTAAAAATACCGATAGTTCTGAAGCTGAAATCTTGCTTTCTCATATTTCTTTCCATATTGAGCAGGCAGTTAACAAAATAAAATTATTTGAGATAAGCTGTAGGTACATCACACAAATGTTTATTTTAGAATCCTGTAATATATACCAAAAAAATTAAAAATTTAGTTACCTGTATAAATAAAAGATATAAATAAAACCTGAAGAGAAGAGAATCCTCTTTGTCTAGTCAACTAATTCATGGCTCACAGTTATCACTAGCATGTTTAGGCTCCAGCCTTGAAAGGAACAAGGAGCTCTGCACAAACATGGCCCACCCACACAGAGATACTTGCAGGGCTCTACTCTGTATCCTCCACAGCATTTGGACTGAGGGGAATGTCAAGAAGAAATTAATTACTCGAATTTTAATATTTTCCTACACAAAAGCACATCTTGGATATTTAATAAACTTACCACGTTGCGACAAGGTGCAAAAACATCACTGTATAGAACTGAGCATTCCTTTTTGGCATAAGGGAACTTCCTCTGATGTACCTCACATGGCCTTAGTGTTTCATTTGGGCTCTTGCACTTAAAAACAAGCAAAAACACCACAAGCATTTTATACAAAGTTGTGTTTACCATGGACTCAGGCACACCATAGTATCACATAATTCAATACCTGCATACTCAGAAAACAAAAATAAAACTTAAATTCTATCTACTTCGTCTCCCCCTTTTCCCAATTTGTTGTTATAACCGAAAACATTTGCACAAAAAAAGAATCTTTGTGTTTTGTTCTGAAGTACTAAAATGTTCCTGTTGTCTGCTCAGCACATAAAGACAAAATGTTTTCTTTGTGACACGTTATAATCATTACCAGAGCAACCAACTGTAACGTTACAAACAAATACGTGGTCCAAATCCATCCCTGGTGGTTTTGCACTGACTTTAAATGGAGCCACGCTACAGATGGCTTTAGCCGTGTAAGTTCAAATAAAGAAGCAGTGGTAGGAAGAGCGCAACCCATAAAAAAAAAGATATAATCCAAGATCATCACGATAACTCAAAAACGGCTGAGTTACAAGTCCCTCTCTTACAGTGCCTCTTCCAGAAGAAAGACTTGCAGAGAGCCTTGTCCGCTTTATCACAAGCGGACAGAAAAAATATAACAAAACAACACTTAGCTCAGAAAACACGAGTTCATCCAAAACCATACACTCTTGGTGCAGCAGGGAAGCCCAGGAGGGGCTAGTGACGGATCCATAGGCAACATTGGGGTGTTCTGATGCAGTCTCAGCTGCAGTGGAGTTGCCTGCACTACCCTCATGTGCAGATCCTTGGATGTAGCCATGGGGGGACATGCTGCCGCACTCAGGAGGGAAAAACCCTGGCAGCATCCCATGCTGCACGGTGCCAATGCAAGCTTGCTTGCCAGTAGCACAGTTGGGTTCTAAGCCTCCAGCTATCAAATACGCCTTTGCAGTACTTAGATTTTGCAGAAAAGATGACGAGGTTCACAAGGTTCCATCTCTATGAAGGCCAAAGGTCCTTTCTGAAAATACCTTTAATTTCTACTGCAGAGATAGATGAAGTGTCAAGTCTGGTTGAGTGTAGGCTGCCTACAAGGCCAATATTAAACTCAAATTCAATGAGTGCTCTGGC